CAATGTTAAATAATTTTCACATCAGAAAAAAAAAATCCTATACTAACTTTAGCTATTATTTTGTTTTATAATGACAATATTTAAACTTAAATAATTCCCTTTCAAAATCAAGAAATCAAAATCAATTTTATCAATTTCGTAAACACTTCATTCGAGATATAGAAGAAAAAAAAACCTTGATGAAATATATCCTTAACTAAAGCATTGATTGCAGAAACATGAAAGAACACTTTATTTAATTAACTAATTTATATAAACTCTGTTCCCTGAAACAACTTCATTCATTAATTACTATTGATGACTAAAGTTCCATGAGTTAGGAAGTTAGCCAATGGCTTTGCTTGCCATTGGGTCTTTCGTTTTCTGCTATCAGTTTGATGCAACTTATCTTTCACCCATTCATACCTGCAGCTTTATTCTTCTCTGCTTTAATTTTTCACCCACTTTCTCTCTCAATTTTCTCACGTGCATGACGGTGGAATATGTGAAATAGAAAAAGGAACCATCATACGAACTATATATCAAAAACCAAAAAATGGAACGATAATTAAAATACAAGAATTCAAGAAATTGGCAATACCGAAACCCCACTAACAGAATAAATTCAAATTTAATAGTGTACATACCATATAATGAATGTAAAGAATGAACAATTGGTTGTTACATGGCTAAACGTAAGAAGAAGAAAAAGCAATAATGAAGGTTAACAGTGAAGAAAGAGTTGAGCTTTTAGTAATGGCAATCCACCAAAGAAGTTGCAGAGAATACAATGACTTTTTCTTTGGACTGAAAAGGAAGCAAGTTGGATTCTCTGTGGTGATCATCCTCAGGTGCCGGAAGATTCAAGTCCAAGTTCAAAACATCTTTCTGTTTCTTGATTTCTGGAATTTCGGGGATTCTATCACCAGCATATGCAATTGCCCCAATCGAAGGTGAACTCAGAAAATTTCTGTGCCTTCTCATGTGCCCTCCCAAGGCTTGCCCAGACGAGAACTCTGCCCCACATATGGAACACTCGTGAACCTTAGATTTAGAATTAACGGTGCTACTCCTAGTGCTGTTGCTACTATTATACAAAACCGTTGATAATTGTAAGGTGAGACAATAATCATCACGATTAATTTTACTAATATTATCCCCAAAAGTAGTAACTTGCTTTTCTTCTGCACCAGCCTTGGAAAATCTCTTGTGGCTGGCTCTGTGGCCACCGAGGGCTTGAAACGAAGGGAAGCATCGGTTACAAGTCTTGCACTCGTAAACATATAGCCCGGATTCTTTGCCGTGTGAGGGTTTTGGAGTGCTATGGCCTCGAGCCAAGAGAATCAAACAATTGGCCAAGTCTTCATCCTCTTCGTTCCTTAATTCATCTGAGGTTGTCGGAGGCTCAAAAGCTGCGGAGTTGTCTGCGGTGGAACATGTTGACATGGTTAACCTAAGTGGGGACGGAAGCCTCTGACGCTTTGTGCGCTTGCCCTTGATGATTTGCATGTGTTCCTCTTGCATTTGCATGGTGATGAAGAAGATGATGTTGATGAGAGAGAGAGAGAATGGAAGAAGCGCAATGAAGAGAGTGGGAGTTAATATTTAGAATGGTTTGAAGTAGAGGGAAAAGGGTACCTATGATAGCTATAGTAACGTGTTTTGGGTTTGCCAGAGTTGCGTTTCCAAACTTGGAAGTCTTATATTACAGATGTGAAGTGTTGAAAGAAAGAGAGAAAGAGAGAGAGAAAAGATGCAATGTTAAGCATGAGGAGGCTAGGAAACGAGTGAGATTCGGTTGGCTTTGAAGCAAACCCATTACTTTTTGGCAACGATTCCTTTCTGGAGGATTGGTTTGCAAGCCTGGAACCACACACATTTTCCAAACTTTCACCACCTTTTATTATTAGCTTTTCCTTCTTACTTTCTTTTACTTCAACCACTGCAGCTTAATTTAACTAATTCCAATCCCATTTTAACCAAGTGTAGGATTATTTCTATCTTATTTTTCAATAATTTATAATTCCATCTATATCTCTCTCATCATATTAATATTAAATGATTCATTATTTACGTGTGTTTATTCTTGCTACAGTTAGTTCATGTGCTGTTGACCTGAACGTTTCTTTCTCTACAAATTAATCACAACTGCATCAGTGTGGCAAAAGTCAGGCATACACATGATCCAAAATCATTGGTATGTGTAAATATGTTTATCTGAGAGGTATATAAATTGCAGTCAATTATATGTTCTAAAATTCTTTTATCAAATGTGTTTTCTTCTTTTTTAAAAAATAATATATGGACTAAAAGTTCGTAAATTTTTTATGTTCATTTTACTGATATATCTTAAAATCAACATAAATAAATAAGTATAAACGTTTTAACAAAAGGAAATACAGACTATATTAATATTATTTATTTGTGTCATTAAAAATAGTTATAAAGGGTATACCTATTCTAAATAATCAATAGTCCAGGAATTTGTCTTTTTCTTCTTACATCAAAATTAAATTATGATATGGTCTCTCGTATATTTTTTATTTCTTTTTTTTATATTTTTCTTAATAAAAAATTTGTATAATAATAGCTGTTTGAAAATATATATATATTAGCTTAATTTTTGCTCATATTGCTATGTATATCTTTGTATATTCACTCGATTTTACTTGCGATTTTACTTTGTTATGCTAGTTATGGATGTCAGAGAAAAAAAGTGTTAGGTTGTTTGATTTTGGTCACTGCTGTATGTTTGGTGAAAGAATTGCTTCATGCCACTTTATTTGTAAGTACTAGCTTATATGTAATAAATTAAAATCAATAGGGAGATTAACCTAATAAGGTTTGAAAAGACTTTTTGTTCTAATGAAATATTAAGCACTCTTTTATTGTTGAGTGAACTTGATTAAAATTATTAAATTATATATAGAGAGAGGGAGAGAGAGAGAGAATTTTTATGTTAAATATAATTATTTATATTTGTATAGAAGTCAACCAATTTTAATTAATTTTAAGATATATTTACATGGTTATTAATTAGACAAAGACANTGTGAGAAATATCGTTTCTACCCCTGTTTTGTTATGTTTATTTGCTTTCTGTTACTGTGGTAGATTTTGGTAGATATTTCTAGCATTCTGTTATTGTGCTAGACAGGCTGTAATCCTCTTTATTTTCTTCTTTTTATTTTGTACAATGTGCTGAATATATATTGAGCACTTTCAGACTTTATTAGATGGAATGAATAATGAGGATTAAGGTGCTTGGCCATTACTCTGTCAGAAGAAAATATTTTCTTAAGATTTGTTTGATCATAGAAAAATTTAATGTTTTTTCAGTAATTAAGAAATTATAACTTTATTTCTCATTTTGGATATGTTTTAAAGATTAGTACACAAATTTAGGAGCTTGATTGCACGTTTTATTTGTTTGGGAATGTTTCTTTCATAGGCTTTATTTATGTTTTAAAAAATATATATCCAGAGACTATTTTTTTTCCCATTAATATCTTTCTCATAGAATCATTCTTTTAGGGGAAAAAAAGTAGGAATTTAACTTTTACGATTTAAAAAGTGTTTCACACAATTAAAATTATATATTACTCCTATAAAATGTGATAAATCATTAAAATTTACCACAAAAAAACTTGCGTTACTTTTAATTTTTTAAAATGTTATATAAATGTTTTTAAAAATATTTATGGAAAAACAATCATGTTTTAATGGAATTCATGATTCTGTGAAAAAAATGTAATATGTTCATAGACTTTTATCCTTATTAATTTTTCAAAATTGTTATAACTTATATATGTAACTGTTGTTTAAGAAATATCCCTTTCATTGAATTTTAGGTATAATTGTTTTACTAGTATAATAGAATTGAGTTTGCAAAATAAATTAACAAACAAATATTTTAATTTAGAAAAAAAAAACATAAAAAATCACTTAATTGAAATCCTATACTTGAACTCTAAAACAATGTGGACTAATGAAGTTACTGAGGTATCATATTAACATAATATCCATAAATAAACAAAAGTATTAAAAAAATATATCAATTTAGTGATAATTTATTTTAAGATTTTTATCAATCACCATGGAAATTAAAAAAAGTTGAGTGATATTCTAACCTAAATATTAAGTTCTTCCAATATAAAACTATTGGATATTTCGAAGCAATAACATGTTATAAAAGAACTCGCTTTGTTTATTTATTTAGATTCAATATTTTAATACAAAATATAATAATAATTGTTAATTAAAATAAACATTAGTATTGTCATTTTAATTAATAATTATACTATATTGTATTATTCTGTAAATAAATACATATTTTCTTATTTAAAAAATGTTTATTTTACGGTGTTTAGTTCTCATAAGGGCCCTTTTATTTATTTGTTTAAATAAAGTATTTCTTTAGACCATACGAAAATATAATTCATATTTTAGAGATTTTATATGAACGAGTTATCTTTCATTTATTTACGTTATTAAAATATATTTTATTTTAAAAATAGATATAATTAAAAATATTTTGTTAGAGACACAAAGTAAAACTTTGAAAAACTTGTATTTTTAAAAATTTTAAAATACAATGAAATAAGATATAATTTTCATAAGAAAAAATTGAGACAAAAGAAGATCTAGTTACTTTTTTTAAAAAAAAAAAGCTTAAAAAAATATCATTTACACAGTCTAAAAATAATATTTTTCTTTTTACACATTTTCAAAATTAATTTTTAGATGCTACATAAATGAACTTAATTAAGGAAATTAGTTACAATTTGGAATTGGGTATTGCAGCATGCGTGTAATGTGTAGACCCACCAGCAGGCCCAAACACTTCATTTCAACAAAAACCTTCAAATCTGAAGTCTCGTTCGCTCTGTTTAGCTCACAACATTTTCAGTTAATAAAACGAAGTTACCCTTACACCCATCATTCCTCTCTTCGTTGCCTGGTAATTAAATCTCCCTCTTCTATTCTAAGGGTACCCATATCTTTATGTAAGATCTTTCATCAATGTCACCGTAATTTTTGTATGTGCTTTTGTACTTGTCCTTTTGTCTATGTGCTTGTAAGCTGTTTGATTAAATGCCTCAGTTACCGTTGTGTTTTCTGAAGTTTACAAGTGATAAATGTTGCTACTTTCACTGGCTCTTCAATGTGAGCCTTTCAATTCGGCATTTTCAGAATGCCCAGTTGATGAACTTGTTCCATTTCTTCCAACCCTGTAGGGGTTCCTATTGGATCACATTTCGCAGGGTTAATAATCATAGGAACCCGCTACATGCAGAAGCAAGGTAATGCACACTTCTAAGCTTTAATGCTCTGGAAACTTGCGAATTTGGTGGATTGGTTAGGCATTGAACATGTTGAAGATAGCAATTCTTCTGATATAGTTGAACTTAGGTTTTCTCATTATGTGTAAATTAGTGGCTTGCTTTCTTGAGTTTGCTTGTTAATGTCAGTTTATTTATTTATTTTTTATGTTTGAAACAGTACAATATTTTCTGGTAGTTTGTAATTTTCTAGTGTGTTTCACTTTCAGTTGCTCTTTTATTGATGTGCTGTGGAAAGCTGACTGCTGACCGTGGATTTTTGACTTAGATGTGCACCTAAACACATGGGGTCAAGCAGTTTTCTATGGAACTGTACTAAAAAATTTGTCACAGCTGCTGTCATCACTGTGACTGTGTCTGATCGTTTTGCGACAGTTGTTCCTGTTCGAGGTGGCTCTATGTCTCCCACATTAAATCCTAAAACTGGTTCTCTGATGGAAGATGTTTTTGGTATTTTTCTTGCTGAAGGAGTTCATAAGAAAATATTACTTTTACATTTGCAGATTTTGTTGTTTGACCATTAATTACACTGCAGATGACTATGTTTTTGTTGAGAAATTTTGCCTTTTGGGGTACGAATTTTCAAATGGCGATGTGGTGGTCTTCCGGTACTGTTTTTTTGTCCGTCCTTTCCAAGTATTGTATTCTTAAAATTATATGTGCATTTATATGCCGTATCTTCCTTTCTTTTGTAAGATGTCTGGGAGATAATTTAGCAAGTGACTGTAGAGTCTTGTGAATTATCATGTCTTTGGATTAATATTGCATCACAGTCGGAATTGTTGGCAGTCGTTGATTTACACTGTATACTACCTGGCTTTTTAACATTAATAGATTATTGTGATCTAACCTATATTCATCGGTTGGCTCTTGCTAAAATGGATGCTAATTTTAAGATCTTGATCTATACTATTAAGACAATTTATGTTTCATTAGAATCTATATTTGATACCTATTTGTTTTTTTTTTTTTTTTTTGAGTTTTAATTGGCATTGTGAAACTTTTGTAGCTCCCCAACGAATCACAAGGAGACACACATAAAAAGAATAGCTGCATTACCTGGTGAATGGTATGGCACTCATCATAACAACGATGTGATTCGGATCCCATTAGGACATTGTTGGGTTGAGGGAGACAACTCAGCCTCTAGCATTGATTCAAAGTCATTTGGACCGGTAAGTTGATATTATCACTGAGTTTCTGGCATGATACTGTTATGATGTCCAAAATGAAGCAAGAAAAATAAGTCTCGTGTAAAGGGTCAATGCTTGAAATTAGAGAATACAAAATTGAGGAGGACTTCTAAATCGTACTTAGTTTAATATTCCATTGTGAGTAAAACCTTAAGATTTCTGTTAACAGATGAGCAGAAGAAATTATGGCTCATAATAATTACGGGGTAAAGCCTGACTAGCATGGCTTCTTTTGCTAGAAAAAGAATGAAGGTTTATATTATGTATCAAATGCAATTGTGCTCACTTATTTCAAAGCATAGTAGAGCCGATGAGTCTTTCTGATTAATTTAAGGTCATTAAATTAGATTAGATTACATTACATTACTTAATGTTTTCAATAAAAATGCTATTTACTATAGTTTCACCACCAGATCAAGTTAATAGTTTATATTCCACTGTCTTAGCTTGCCTAGTAACTGTGTCTTTTGGTGCACTTAGGCAAACCTTGACACTAAACTAGTCTAGCGGTCAAATTACCAAACTCTTTGTAGTTAGGAAGTTACAATGTTTGCGTTAGCAGAAAATATTTTCTAGTTGGCTGTTGTGGACTTTGTTTATCCTGTAACGTGAATTATAGTTAATGTTTTTTCTTATAATTTTGGTGTGACCTGATGAATTTGCAGATTCCTTTGGCCCTAATTCGGGGAAGGGTTACCCATGTTGTGTGGCCTCCTCAAAGAATAGGAGCTGTCAAGAGTACTCCACCACAAAGATTATCTTCTGTATCGGAATAAGACTATTTTCGTTTCTGTATAATTGGATCCCACCTCTATTGTTTAATGTCCTCAAATAATAGATGTGAAAGAACTACTCAGAAGAATCTGACGTGGTTCCCTTGGATGGGGAAAACGATTGTTATTACTGAAGTTGTGTCACGGGAAAGGGGACTTACATAACCTGTGGTTGATTTGCCTTAAACCTTAATTACTTAAAGTAGGTACGGTTAGATATATTATATCTTTTATCTTTATCTTTTAGTTAGTTTGTTATTATTTTTTATTTGTATTTTGGGCTTAGCCCATATTTCTTCTATTATAGATAGAGAACCCTATGTGTGTATTTAACACAAGGGAGATTAATCCCATATATAATTTTCACTATATTCAACATGGTATCAGAGCTTAAGGTTCTTTTTTGAGGAAAACGTTTCTTGTGCCTCTGCCACTACATCCGTTGCCGCTGGCGGTGCCATCTACTGCCGCCGGTGATGCCATCGTCTACTGTCATTACCGGAGTTCTAGTTTCGACTGATGATCACTTTGTTTTCATCGTCTCGGCCAGGCGACTACCATGCCTTTAACGACGCCTTCATCGGAGTTCCTTTAAAAGTTATGGATTTGCTCCCTTTTTCGTTCTGCATTGTGGCATGTTTGGTAGTTGTTTAGAGCATCGATGTTACTCTTTTTTCCTTTTAAGGTGTCTTGATTGGAGAATTTTGGATTTTTTATGGTTTCTCTTTCTTATTCATCCATGGCTTCTTCCGCTGGTGTCTCTTGTGACCTCATTTTTTGTCACCATTGTGTTTGACCCGTCTATATATTTTATTTATAATTGTTGTGGCTCTGCCGTAGAGGGTTTCGCCTCTGATTGTGTTTGACCCGTCTATATATGCTTTTTTCCCATGGAAAAGATGGTTCTTGTTAGTTTATTTATAGCCATGGTGGCTCTTCAACAATTACATCTTTATCCACTCGCGGTGATTTGCAAGAGATTTACATGGAACAACAAGTCTTTATGGATTATATTAGTAACAAGCTTTTGTACATACGATTTGTATGCACAACTTGAGGGGAGTGTTAGATATATTATATCTTTTATCTTTTAGTTAGTTTATTATTATTTCTTATTTGTATTTTGGGCTTAGTCCATATTTATTCTATTATAAATAGAGAATCCTATGTCTTTATTTAACACAAAGAGATTAATTTCATATATAATTTTTACTGTATTCAACAGTTACAAACAAGATGAATGATATCTTGAGTTCTCTTCTAAACAGAAAAGATGAAACATTTATCATAACAATTGTTTCAAAGGATATCTTAAGTTTAAATGTGATTTCCCCACTAGATATGCAGAGCTGCCCGTAGATAAGTTAGCTAGCTATTTTTATTAAGAAATCATAACAAGTTTTAGTTTGGGAAAGTCAGTTTTAGTTATTTAAAAAATTGATTATATGTTCTAAACCCGATAATGAATACCATTAAATAAAAGTGATAAAGTTTTTTTAAAACAATTTTGGTTCTAATTATAATGATATATACTTTTTTTTATAGCTTTTGGTGTTAGTATAAAATATACTGTCTTACCTTTACTAAATTAAATAATTGTATTACTTAACGAAGTATATTATTGTATGATCTTTAATGAAAATATTCGTTCAAGAATAACCATATAATTTTGTAATCTTATTTTTACAAAAATTATTGACCTTTTTTTTTAATATCAAATATTTATAAGAAATTATAATTATAATTATATAAATTTTAAATTAGAATATAAATTGAGAACAACATATTTATAAATTTCGCAAACATTAATGAAAAAAATTGGTAAAATTAAAAAATAATTTTAAAAAGTTAAAAAAAAACAAGTATTCAAGTTTTAAAATATTTTAAATTTCTTTTTATTTCGTTTCTCTAAATTATAATGAAATCGTTTTTTCTTATAATAGTTAAAATACATGTGTGCAAATGTGTTTACTTTTTTTTATGATCATAAAAATAATAAAATTATTATTTTTATTATTATAATTATGAAATTAAATATAAATATTTTTTATAAATTTATTTAAAATAATTTTAATTTATTTTATAGGTAGTTTTATAATTAAAAAATGGTTTTAAGTTTAAAACCCGGTTAAATTAAAAAATGGTAAAATTGCTAAAATAGTTATTTTAATTAAAAAAAATTTATCTAAAGGGTAAATTTGAAAAACAAACGTGGACATAAAAAAATAATCCACCCTTATATATAAGTATAGATACTAATAAAAATTACAATATATCATTTAAATGAAAGAACAAAGTTTACATAAACGGGTTAAATGGGTTGGCCACTAACTCACTTAATTACAATTTTTTTTTCAAATTTTGAAAAAAATTACATTTTTTTTGTTATTGAAATCTAAATAAATTTCACTCTAAAATGATGTTAAACTCCAAAGACAATTCAAAATAAAAAAAGTACCCTACAATCCAAATATAATTCAGAAACAAGCACAAAAAAACAAACAAATAAGTTTCTAAAATTAATCATTTTTGTATCACTCATCCATTTATAATATTATAGTCCTGAATGGATAAATCCATAATATTTCTCTCTCTTGAAACATCTTTTTCTTTATCCCCATTTACAACACAATAAAAAAAAGGGTTAAATATGTTTTTAGTCCCTAAACTATCAGACGATTTTGTTTTTAGTCCCTGCTCAGAACTTT